TGATGGCCAGAGACCTAACGGTGGCTTTTACTGATTTGCAATTGTTCTAACAAGACAGAACGCTACTTTGAAACATTAATTAAATGAAATCTTATCTCAGCTCAGAAGAATTCTAGCCCTCTCACTAGTAGACCTATTATTACCAAAAATGGTACTCTTTATAGAGTCTTGTCAACCAAAAACGTGTAGAAACTTGCTGTCATATATATAAAATACATTCTATTAAACTTAAATATTAAATTATGTATTAGAATATATTATGTGACAGCATATTCAATATATTCATATATTTTATATACATTATGTGTGCACACATGTGCACACACACACATGCACACACACACATCTTCAATTTTGCTGAAAGGCTCAGAAAGCCTAAAATATTCACTGTGCGGCCCTATACAGAAAAACATTTGCTGGACTCTTCCAGAACCCTCTATGGCTCCTGCCTTTCTGGCTTTGCCCTTCCTGACATCTGAAGTGATCTCTCTCTCACCGTGACTACAATTGGCTGGTCGAGGGTCACAAAGGGTTCGTCACCGTCTCAGCCTCTGGCTTTCCTCATTAACAGTAAGTTCCAGGTATTGACTCGTACACTAGCGTTTTCACCTGGAAATGATCTAAGAGCATACCTGGTAGTCTCTGCTGGTCTGTGGACAGACCTGTAGGATTGTTTTTGACGGTGTTGGGGATTGAGTCTAGAGCCTTTTCCCTGAGCTATGTCTCCAGCCCTTTTTTAAATTTTGAGATAGGGGCTTGCTCAGCTGACTAAGCTAGACTTGAACTTGTGATCCTCCTGCCTCAGCCTCTCAGAGTGCTGGGATTATGGACGGGGGCCATCAAGCCCAGCTCAGATCTACAGTACTACAATGGGACAAGATCTGTGGGAAAACTTACAGAGATTATCTTGAGATTACTTTTATAAGCAAAAATGATACTCTTACTGCCTCACAGCTCCTAGTGACCACTAGTCCCACCCCAAAAGCCCCAGACCAGAGGTCTTTGGCTTTCCTAAGCACCCATCTCTGGTCCACACCCACATTAATCAATCTGTACACATGAATCACCCTATTTCCCACAGGTACTGTGACTGCTGAGTAATCGTGTCAACTTGAGAAGTTTAGAGTTTAACTAAATCAGCTCAGTAATTTCACACCCTAGAGTGTGGCAGACCCACCCCAGGGCAGCTCCGCCTGAACAGTATGATAGGGAAATGAAGACAGGAATTTTCTTCTGTGGAGCTCCACCCAGTCTTCACCCTCACCTTAAATGTCACCTCCTGGCTTCCAGCGCAGACTCTTCAACCTCCTGACACAGACTCGCAGGGGACACTGCAAGGAGCTCCAGACCTTGGGCGGACTCCCTCCCTCTCCAGTGTGTAGACACCTCTGCACGCTTCCTCATCTAGCTCTGCGGTGGCCACTGTAAGCCAAACTTGTAAATTCTCATGTATTTATATATCCTGTGTTATATCCGTTTGTCTAGTAAAACACTGAGGATACACACACCCAACACTCCCTTTCCTTCAGGCCCTATGATTTGATAAGGCACAGAAGGCCCCAACATAGCAGGGTGCGCTGTTCCTGGGTATCTGTGTCAGAAAGTCTGCATCTTTCCCGAGACTCCTCTCCTGGGAAGTCAGGCCTGAGAGCCGCTTCACTGGCTAGACAGGAACCCTCCACCAACTAAATCTGAAGGATTTACACAAACCAGTTTCCTCACTGCCCAAGAGCCTACTGGCTCGGATGTTCTCCGAGCCCTTGGACATAGGGAGAGCCACGAACCATGGGGGTCTTTCTTGGGTTGACCTTTGACTTGATCATTCGCTCCAAATGCACACGGAACAACAACACTATAAAGAAGCACAGAGTCTTCCAGGACGCGCTTCTTAAGATCTGGGCCATTTTCTCCATGCTCCACCCTTCCTGCAGGTGAACACACAGCAGAGCTCCAAGGGTGGAGGAGGAGAGGGTGGCTACATTAATGAGGTCCACAACCCTAGAAGCCCGGACCTGCTGTGAGCCAGGGACCTTCCGCATGCTCAGGAGCAGAGCCAACATCAAATTTTTTTAATTTTTCAAAAATTTGCAGTACTGGGGACTGAACCAAGGGCCTCTACACTAAGCTACATCCCTGGCCCTTTTTAGTTTTTGAGTCAGGGTCTCATTAAATTGCTAAATGGCCCATTCTGGGCTCAAACACTGAGATCTTCCTGCCTAGGCCTCCCAAAGTGCTGAATTTACAGGCCTGTGCCACAAGGCATGGCTCTCCCCTTTACATTAACACCTAGCACTACAGATTCGTCACGGATGACTGATGAAAGCCCACTGAGGGTGCCCACTCCAGGAAGGTAAAATCCCCGCAAGTTAATAGAAACCCTACTCTCTAGCAGGCAGAGGCACCAATGCTCACTGACTCCAGGTGGCACGCAGCATTTTGGTCCATTCCAGCATTCAAGGTCAGCTACCGATAAAAACCCGACCCCTCTCAAAATCTGTTTCCCATGGCTTCCAAAGCCACGTTAGATGTCTCCAAACCTTTATCCTCAGGAGAAAAGACAGTATGTGACCACGTTATCAACTGTGTCTGTGAAACAAGAAAAACAAAGACAAGCCTCTGACCCAAGCAAGTCCTGTTTAAAAGCCACAGACAGAAAATGATTGCTGGGAACTTGAGATGCGCTTTTCTACTGGAAGCTGGTCACTGGCGTAAGCAACAGACGACAGTGAGAAGAGCCAAGTGTGTGCTGCACCAGGAGCTGGGCAAGTTCATGAGGGCCACAAATCTGCAACTTGGTCCCACTGTAACCTTGACCTTTGCAGAAGATAAATCTGAGGTTGGAGAAGCTCCAAGGACTTTGCCAAGGTCACAAAAAAACAGTAGGACCTACACTGCAGATTCTTTCGGCTGCTCAGAAATGGCAGTTGGATCAAAACTAAGCCAGATTCCCAAATCTGCTATACAAAACTGAGAGCCAAGTTCCAGTGAGCAATGCCAAGCCCTTGTTGGCTGCCACACTCTGAGAAGCTGAAAGAGGCTCCTGCTGCTCAGAGGGGTCTAGTATTTTGCCCACGGTTCTTATGGAAAAGAAAACAGGAGATCCTAGAGGGCTACACACCACCCAAAAGGCATCTAGCTTTTCACAGATAAGCAATATACCCATCAGGGACCCCCGGTATTTCCAAATACAGGACCTTCTGCATTATGAACCACACCACGATAACTCAGACCAGCACAGACTTCCTTTAAGGAGGGCAAAGTACCACTTGAATTTAGTGACTTTTTTTTTTTTTTTTTTTTTTGTCTTTTTCCATTTTATCAGTACCTGGGATCGAACTCATGATTGCCTGCTTGCAAGGCAGACGCTTATGCCGCTGAGCTAAATCCCCAGCCCCAGTGACATTTTTTAAAACGCAAATTCCTTCTGGGCCTGGTGGCTCACACCTGTGATCCCAGCACTAGGGAGGCTCCTAGATTCACATTAGATGTCCCCACTGGCTAAGTATCCCTTAGCCAAAATGCCTGGGGCAGAAGTGTCACAGATCTCGGATTTTTTTTTTTTTTTGATGGGGGAGAGGTAGATATTTGCACAGACTTTATCAGTTGCACAATCTTAGTACAAAAATTTGGGACATTTGGATCCTAGATTTTCAAATGAAGGACGCCCAACCTATACCTCCAAAAGCTCCTTTCTAACCTCCCAGTTTAAAGTGTTTTGCAGGGTCACGTGACCCCATCTCAGTGCCCTGCACCGCACTTTCCACTCTGACATCCTTGCTCACTTGTCTCATCCATCTCCCTCCACCAGGCTGCCAGCTCCGTAAGGGCAGAGACCCTTCCTGTCTTTGCTCCCTCCTGCAGCCCAGGACCTAGAACAGTGTTTGACACTAGGTGCCCAATAAACCGATACAGACTAAAGGAACGAGCAATTATTTTCTCTCTGCTAAACTACATATCCTGAGTACAGAGCAAGGAGGCTCCTCCAGACTAGTGACCAGGACACTTTCTGCATATAAGGCCACAGAGCAAGTATCTCAGGCTTTGCTGGGCACAGTGGCTCACACCTGCAATACCAGCACTCAGGAGGCTGAGGCAGGAGGAACACTTCAAGTTCGAGGCTAGCGTGAGCTACAAAGTAAGTCCACAGCCAGCCTGAACTGCTTAATGAACCTGTATCTTGAAAAGGTTTAAAAAAAAAAATCTCAGGCTTTGGAGACTACATGATCCAGGTCACAGCACTCACCTCTGCCACTGTGGCAACACAGGCAGTGGCAGACAATACGTACATGAATGGATATGGCTGGATTATTTATAGACACTGAAATTTGAATTTGCATTTAATTTATTGTTCTATTAATTTTTTTTTCAACTGTTTAAAAATGTTCACAGCTTGCAGGGCATATAAGAACCTTCGAGCAGTTGGTGACTGGCCAGGTACAGCCCACAGGCTATGGTCCACAAACCCCACTCTAAATTCCTGCACGTACGCAGCGAATGACAGACTGTCTCAGTAAAGTGCTGTAAGTCACAGTGGCTTCTACCAAGCCCTGTACTCCACTACTGCATTAAAGTACTTGCCATATTCAACAGATGTGCAGTGTATTTCTCCAGGTAGTAAAAAAGCACTCAGAAGCTCAGAGATAGTAAACTACTTGGTCAAGGTGACACAAAACTAAGTGGTAGCTTTAGGATTGGAATTTAGGCAGTTTAATACTTATATAATAAAATGATAGAAATGATGATACTAACAATAGCCTAAAAACAATAGCCATTGAAAACACTGCACACACCGCTTCCAGTCTTCACAGCAATTCTACGAGGCAGGAATTTTTTATCCCCATTTTACAGGTGAGGAATCACAGGTGCAAGTATTCACTCCACTCGAGAGTGGCAGAGCCCAGACTGAAATCCAGGCCATCCACCCCTCCACCCATGTGCCTCACTGTGGTAGCCACATCCTGTCCCGTCCTAGGCGCTGGGCATCCCCTCAGCCCACTTACTGGCCACCTGCAGCCACACTGGGAACCACTGAGTCCCATTGCGAATCTCCCGGCAGGTGTAGTTGCCCTCGTCCTGCTGGCTCAGCACCTCGATGTGCAGGGCGCTGGCGTTCACTAGAGAGAAGCGAGGCTCAGCTGGCACGAGGCTGGCGTTGGAGGAGAGAAGCAGGATGGGCTCTGGGTCATTCCGGTACCAGGTCACCAGGCCCCTGGGTCCTGAGATGTTGCCACAGCGCAGAGTAACGTTGCCGTGAAGTTCACCAACAATGACAGCCTCCAGTCCTGCGTAAGAAAAGGCCAGCTTTTAGTGTCTTTCCTTTTGTGGCACTGAGGAATGTCCAGGCCCTCACACTGGGCCACATGCTCAGCCCTTTTGCTTTTTCTCATTCTGAGGCCAGGTTGTCCAGGCTGAGCTCATGTGCAATCCTCCAGCCTCAGCCTCCTAGTGAGATGGACTCACAGGCATGCACCACCATGTTCAACGAGGTTACTACCTTTCTTGATCTTTGAGCAGCCTCCCTTTGAGAACAGTCCCTGCAATGGGATTGTTTTGTTTTTTAATCAAGCATGTGGTTTTATAGTCTCAGTTGTGTTAGGGCTCATGGTCCATCACTGGTATTAATGAACTTGGGGTCGACTTCAAACACAGTTCCAAGTCCTCACTCTGTCACAGTCCTTTGTGCCTCCAGTGTGCCTATTCTGGGACAAGTGTGGTGAGCACTGGAGACCCAATGATGAGCCAGACACAAACTTCCAGGAGATCACAGGCCAGTGGGAAAACAGATAATAAACTGACAGTTAGAACTCAGTGTGATAAGCACAGAGATAAGAGCTCGGCTGGGACTTAGGAAGCAAACCAAGATCTGAAGGGTGAGGAGTGGCTGGCCAGGTAAAGGTGAGGCTGTGGTTTCCAGACAGACAGAAAAGTGCTTTCCAAGGCCCAGGCCAGGGGCTGGGAGTATGGCCCAGTGGCAGAGCTCTTGCCTCACACATGTGAGGTCCTGGGTTTCATCCCCAGCACCACAAAAAATGAATCAATCAATAATAAAATAAAATAAATGAAACCAAAAGCTCAGACCTGAGCAGCAGAAATACAAACTAGGCCAGGTGTGGTGGCACATGCCTGTGATCCCAGCACTCGGGACGTTGAGGCAGGAGGATCACTATGAGCTCGAGACCAGCCTGGGGTACATAAGCAAGTTAAAGGTCTGCCTGGACTCTAGCAGGATGCTGTCTCAAGCCCCCCACCAAAAAAAAAGAAAGGAAGAAAAATACAAACTATTAACAATACAACACACACACATCTAAATCAGAATCAGGGGCAACATAAGGGCTGAAAAAAGACCCCTCAGATGCTAAGAGCAACTGTCTGGCCTCCACTAAAAGAATGTAAGTAGAAACAAAAGCAGCCCGTTTTTTTTTTGGGGGGGGGGATATCCCAACTTCCCAGCCCCTTTTACTATCAAGGGAGGCCACAAAGAGAGAGCCCTGGTGAGCTGATGAAAGTGTTCTGGAATTAATTAGTGGTGACAGTTGCATAACCTTGTGAATACACTAAAACCACAGAGTTGTACACTTTAAAGGGGTAGGTTTTATGGTATGTAAATTATATCATAATAAAGTTATGAAAAAGATACACTGCCACCTGCCTCTGGGTTATCTTCTTTCCTTTTTGAGACACAGTCTTGCTATGTAGCCCAGGCTGGCCTTCAGCTTACTATGTAGCCCCGGCTGCCCTCGAACTCATAGGAATCTTCCTGCCTCAGCTTCCTGAGTGCTACGATTATAGGCACATGCCACAACAGCCCAGTCTTCTCATTTGTAAGAGGAAAAGTGAGTTATATGTTTGGCCTCTTGCGTGATTAGAAGGGGTCTCCCTTTGAAAGATCCACTGTCACTCAGGAACCACAGGAAGTTCTGATTCTCTTAAGATCTTGGCCACATTGCCCCCCAAAAACTTTCAAGTCAGGGCAGGATGGAAAAAAACAAAATTAAATTGCATGCCAAAAACTACAGAGTGTCACCCAATGCCACAGATTCACAAATAGCAAGAAATGATCCTGAACAATCACTTTAAAAAGCATGAGAAAATTATTTCCAAACAATTAGGCAGGGAACCCAAGCTCTCGGGTGGCAATCGCCACTGAGTAGGGAAGGAGAAACTGTAGAGCGGCAGATGCAGTACGTGTCCCTGAGACCTGCAGAGCTGCCTCTGCCTCTGCCTCCTTGGCATGAGAATAAAGGGACAATGCCTTGGAAAAGCCTAGGTGACTTTAATCTTGGAACTTGAGCTAACATCCTCTTCTCCAAGGAATTGAATGACGTGGTCACAAAAGAAACCATTTAAAGACATGGAACTTCTCTTCTTGGTCTGCCCACTCCATTTTATTCTAAATACTGAAGCTCAAGGTGAGCTTAGTGGTCATCTAGCCCAGAGCTGTGGCTGAGAGTAAGCCCTGGTTCAGTAGAGAGCACAGTCATTGATTAGTAATGTCTGGCACAGACACTGAAAGGGTGGTTCTAGCAGATACACTAGTTTCAAGAGAGACGCTCCCACACTCTGGTTTTACTACAAAAAAAACTGAAGTTTGAAAAGCTTAAATGATTTACTTCAGCTCCCACACAAGTCTGGGACTGTGAGGTTGTTATACAGGTCTTGAGTGTTCCAATCACAGGTATCTACATGGTATCCAGGGCATCCCTTATTGTTCTCTAACCTGAAATTCACAATATGGAACAAAAGAGGGAGGGAACAATACAAACTCTCTTGATCATCCCCTTGTATTATTTATTTACAGCGATTCATCTGCATGTTTATCTTTTCCTAGTAACTTTTCAAAAATGACACAGTTCATCCCCAGTACCGATTAAAAAAAAAAAAAATGACCCAGAGTATAAAATGTTGGAAAGAGATTATCTGAATGACTACAAAAAATCTGAAATGATATTAAAATTTTCAAAACTGTTTTGAATAATACACAGGACTGAATTATGTTTTTTTTAATGACCTAAGGTACACCACCAAAGTGATAAGTAGAAGCATCAGCATTCTCTGGAGGTGCGGGTTAGGAGAACACGCCCTTCTCAAGACAACTCCTGGTTAGAAAGCCAACAAAATTATGGCATGCCCAGGAAACCCCTAGCACCATACAAACAGGCAAAGCAGGCCTGGCCAGGTGCGGAGTTGTACACCTGTAATACCAGTGCTTAGGAGGCTGAGGCAGGAGAATCACTGCAAGTTGAAGGCCAGCCTGAACTACTTGGTGAGACCCTGTCTCAAAAACAACAACAACAACAAAACGCCCACACAATAAACAGGCCTGGCAGTAAGTTCCCCATGGTGGGAGCCACAGACTCCCTGGAAGGTTGCTGATGCCAGTATAATTTCAGGACCAGTTGTTCCTCATGGCCCTGGGTCACTGTTGTTCACAGTGCAGGAACACTACAAACAACTCAGAGAGGAGACCACTGGACAATCACCTTTCCTTTCTGTCCTCATTTCTCTCCCCAGCGAAGTGACCCCTGGAGGGCCCAATACTTAAGGTACCAGTTTGAAGAGGGCCAGGGATATGTTACTATAACAGGGGAAAGGTGAGACAAATGAGGCCAAGAGATGCCATAGATAAGAGGATAGCTACTGCTCAGCTGGACAAGCAAGGCCGGGGTTGCTGGACTTAGGTTTGGGGATTTTTTATTATTTAACTGTTCTTATACGGTTGCTGAAAGCAAAAACAAAATGTTCATTTGTGAGCAACTAACAAGAAGGAACTTTTGGCACTTGCTGCCAGGAAGCTCAGGTGAAATGTACAACATTCCTTCAGGAATCTGCAAGAGGACACCAGCTGGTGGCCTGGACCGAACAACACAGAAAGCAGGGCTCTACTTGGTACCTTGGCAAGGACTTGCTTCTCTGCAAACTACACTTTCTCCTGGCTCCATTTCCCTTCCTTCCACCCCATCTCCTCCCTGCTGGTAACATGGGCTGCACACAATACAAATGAAGTAGCTGGTGAATTACATTCAAAAGTACTTTTTCATCTTTTTACATGCCACATATTTTTGCAAGCAACTATTTTTTATTGCAACAAAACAGAGTGTGAGTGAAGCATGTAAGTCCTCCTGCCAATTGTATCCAGTGCAAGGGAAATTTTTTTTTTTGTTTTGCTAAGTTTTAAATCATTTCAAAATAAAAAGGTTTTTTCCCCCATTATTCTTTTTTTGTTTTGTTCTGTTTTAAAGGAAAGCAGGGCTTTGAATGCGCTGGTGGGCACAGAGGATTGGAAGGCTGTGTAGGGAAGCCACACGTCACAGGTGTAAGGCCAGTTAACCTTGGGCAGAGGGAGGAGAGGAATAAGTGGACTCCTGCAGTTTCTGTACCAGCGCAGCAGGTAAACCCTGGACGCGAATTTACACCCGACGCTTAGAGAGTAAAAAATCTCTTTCCCCTCTACACGTGCCTCGTTTTTCCTCATCACCTCTCCGCTGCCCGGTCGCCCCCTCTAGGAAGCTGGGGCGCCTCGCCCTTCACCGAGCCCCCGGGAAAATTCTTTCCCGCAAAGAGCCGGAACCCGAGATTCTCCCTGGGCGGCTTCGGGCGGAGTCCAGGGGTTTCGGGCTCAGGTTGTCACCGCCCTATTTGTTGCCTGGGAAAACTCAACTTTTCCCTCCAGATCGAGACCCCTTACCTGCCGCGACCCAGGGCGCCAGGAGCGCCCCGAGGCAGAGGAGGACGCGGGGCTCGAGCGCCTCGCCGCTCGCGGCCATCTCGCCCCAGCTCCGGGCTCAGGAAACGCCGGCTCCAGCCGGGCTGGGGGCGCGCCCGCGGGATCCGGTCTCCGGAGGGTCGAGCGCTCCGCGCGGGTAGTCGGCTCGGCAGCGCGGCCCCGCTTCCTGCAGCCCCCGGGAAGGTAGGATGCTTGGGGCGCCGGGGCCGGGCCGGGAGCCGTGCGCCGCTGCGGAGCGCCGGCCGGGGAGGAGGCGCACCCCGCCCCCTGCGCCCGCCTGCCGCGGCGGGCGGAAAACAACAGGCGCGGGCCCCCCGCCTCCCGGGCCGGCGCGAGCCCGACCTCCTCCGCCGCGGCCCGGGAGGAGGGCTTTGTGCCGAGCCAGTCGGTGCCGCGGGCCAGGCCGCGCCGGGGACGAGCGCGGACGCCGGGCCGACCGAGCCCCCTTCGCCCGGACGGCCGCCCGGAAGCGCGGAGACCGCGGGGCGGGACCGGGCGCCGCGGCCGCCGCTGGACGCACGCCCCCGGCCGGGCCGCAGCGTGCAGGGCGCCCCGGCGGGCCGGGACCGTCCCTCGGGCTCCCGCGCGGCGGGCGGCCGCCATCCCTGCCTTTCCCAACCTTTCTCTGGACGGAGCAGGAGGAAGAGGATCCCCAGACCTCCGGGCCAGACGCAGCCCCGAGACGCGGGTTCTCGGATTCGCCGGCTCGGACCACACAGTAAGTGCGGCGGCCCAGGCGTCCGCCAGACTTGTTTGGCGAGAGTTGGTTTTGCATTCCACTCACCACCACCCCCAACCCTTTGTTCTTTACCCGGTCCCTGCCCTGGCCGATTCAGAGACGGCTACATTTGGGCTCAACACCCTCTTCCCCAAGGGCCCCCCACCCACCCATCCCTTCAGGCCTGGGGGGGCTGCAGCTGCTGCGTCCTTGGGGAAAGTCCTATCAGTGTTTGAAAACAGCCCTGGGAGAAACTTTGTGTTAGGAAATGCAATTCGTGCAGTGAAATACTCACGATAAGTTCTAGGAGGCTGAGAATGTGATATGCACCTTCTTTCAGCTTTGCTGCATGCGCGTTTGAGAATATTTATTATAAAATATTGGGAAAAAGAAAAAATTGACATTAAAATCACTAATTTTGTTGCCCTAAAGCTCCTAACTGAAGTACTTTCTCCATGAGAAAATCCTGTTGGAACAATGAAACAAAACCACAAAGTGTGTTTCACCTGATGAACCGAGTCCGAGCCCGGGAGCTCACCAGACCTTTTTTCTAACTGCGCTGTGATTTTGACTTTTCAGCTGACTCCCGCAAGATTTTTTAACCTCCTGCTTTGGTTCTTGTTTTTCTCCTTTGTAGTGGAAGGGAAATTCCATCCTAAGCATACCAGTTTCCCAGGACCTGACAGCTAATTGCCACCTGATGTATATTTGTTGAATAAATGAATATATTAACATCCAGTAAACTGGTTTTGATGTTGTAGTCCCTGAGCTTTTCTGGCAAACATCCCATGTCCTCACCTAAGTAAACAAGCTATCACTAAAATCAGCTGGCAAGTTTTCAACAGAGGATCTGAAATTTTCTGTGGCACTCCAGACAGAGCAGGGAGAAATGCATAGATACAGAGACCTATCTGTTGAGTCAGGGTGAAGTTCTAATCTCGCTGGAGCCTCCCTGCAACCCTTGTACTAGGGCACCATTCAGCCCCCGTGTTAGAAGCCAAACTAGCATTCTGGAAGGTTCCATTCCAGGGCCAGCACAGCTGGTTGATGGTACACCCAGAATTGACCTCCCTGTGTGACCTCAAGTCCTGATCAACAAAGTTCTATCAAGTTGAAAAAGTAGGGGCTGGGAATTTAGCTCAGGGACTTAAGCGCCTGCCTTGGAAGTATGTGGTCGTGAGTTCGATCCCCGGTACCGATAAAGAAAAAAAAAAAAAAAAAAAGACCCTCCCCAAGTTGAAAAAGTCTCTCTCAAAGAGGAAATAAAGGGGCTGGGCACTTAGCTCATCTGCGTAAGCTTCCCTCCCTGGCAAGCATGAGGTTGTAAGGTTGTGAGTTCAATCCCCAGTAGTCCCCCCCCCAAAAAAAAAACTCCCAAAAAGGAAATGAAGACCTCAGTCCCCTATACCCACCTGAAAACTAAGTGGGCCAAAGTATTTCAGGACAGGACAATGAAAAACAAAGGGAGATTTATTAAGCAGAATCAAAGAAATACTGAGAGTGTGGTGCTTGAGGGGTGAAAGCCATTATGGTATGACATGTGGGAATTTCTAAAGTTTTAGGTGTCTTCAGGACACATGACCTGGGATGCTTTGCTTCCTTTTTTTTTTTTTTTTTCTTTTTTAAAAACTTATCTGGGGCTGGGGATTTAGCTCAGCGGCATAAGCACCTGCCTTGCAAGCAGGCAGTCATGAGTTCAATCCCCGGTACCGATAAAAAGGAAAAAGACAAAAAAAAAAAATTATTATCTAGTGTCTGCCTCCTTAAGGTCAGGTTGCTCATTAGTGGACTAAAGCAAAAACTGGCTTATCAAGTAGATTACATAAAATGCAAATAGTGTATGTTTAAAGTTGGATATGGTGGGGAATTAATAGTACTGTTCTTTTGAGGATGGAAATTCTTGAAATGTATGGATTTCCAGTACCTTGTACTAGAAGAAAACCATAGGCCAAGTTACAGACACTATATCTTTTTGTTGTTGTTGTTTTGTTTTTTGTCTTTTTTGACACAGGGTCTCACTCTGCAGTTCAGGCTGGACTTGAGCTCACTTTGTAGCCCAGGCTGGTCTCGAACTCACAACGATCCTCCTGCCTCAGCCTCCTCTGAGTGCTGGGATTACAGGCGTGAGCCACCACGCCCGGCTAGACACTAATAAGATTTAAGGCATTGCAGAGTGAGGAGTCTGGAAGACTCCATAGGAAAAGACACTGTAGCCCTAGGACACCTTTGCCGGTGTCCTGAAGCTGCAGGCTTCTTAAAAGCACAATTTTAATTTATTTTATTTTCTAAAGTATAATTGTAAAATTCCAATTTTCCTTGTCTCCTTTCTGCCTCTTTGTTTCTTCTTCCCCCGGTCCAATCTCATCACAGATACAAAGGCTGCAGGGCTGTGCGCCCCTGGGTTGGAGTGCCCTGGGGTCCCCAGCGGACAGACCTAGCCTTGGCTGTGAGCCACGCCATCCACTTGGTGCGGTCCAGGTGCAGTGTTAGCAAACACCCTGCCCCGCTACCCACTCACACTGCAGGCTGCTCTGGGCTTGTAGAAAGCATCTACCTAGAAGTGACCCATCACCTGGGTGCTCATCATGGGGGTCCCTGGCCAGTTCCCCTCACAGGACCATTGTAAGGATAAAGAGAGTGGAGGAATCCAAGGGGAGTCAGCACTGGTCTTTGCAGACTTAAGGTACCCCACCTCTCTGTCCTGGCTGCTATTGTTTGTGTTTTGTTTATTTTCCCTTTGGGCGACATACTTTACATCCCTTCACACCCTGAGAAGTAGGTATTACTTTCCCATTTGTGGACATCTCCAAGAGGCTACTTTACAAAGTGCTAGGATTATTTCCAAAAGATGAGAAATATAAAATAAAAAGCAGCCTTTATTCTGAGAACACGGAGAAAGATGACCTGCACCCCCACCACTGGAGACCAGTGATCCGGCGATCTCTCCGGCGGACACGTGGCGTGGGGGCATGTAAATAGCCTCGGTTTGGGGTGGAACCTAAGGCGGGCATTGCGGATACACAGGTAGCCCATTGGTCCTAGGCTTGGCGCCATATGTAAATTTCCAGGGGCGGGAAGATGGCATCACAGATAACTTCCTAGGGGCAGGGGAGATAGGGCTTCCTGTTTCCAGTTGAGGTTTTCCTGGCTACAGTGTCCTGTCTGGGCCAAAACCCTTTCACAAAGCAAATAAATGGGCTCAGGGCTCAGTCTCAAGTCTGAGGCTGCACCATTGGTTTGCTTGTTGTGGTGCTGGAGATGCAACGGAGGGTCTCAGAGGGTCTCATGGTGCTAGGCAAGGGCTTCACCACTGAGCTGCCCTGCTCCCCAGCGCCTCATTTTCATCAGGTGGGAGGAGGGAAGGCTGGGGGCTCCCACCAGACTCCAGAGGGAGCACTTGTACAACTGGGTCTTTGGACACTGGAGCAACCTGTGTCTGTTCCTATTATTTCTACCCCTCTTCTCCTCTCATCTGTGTCCCTCCCTCGGGGTGATACTGAAAGGTTTCTTAGAACAATTTACTTCATCTTCCATTTAGGAATAGCCTCTTGGGGGCTGCGGAAAGAGGAGGCTGCAGGAACCCCGACTCCCTCTCCCTCTCGTTGCAAGTGTCTCAGAGCAGCCATCCAGTGAGTGACAAAAGTCCTACCTGTGTTCCCTTGGATTGGCTTGTTACCAGGTAGCACCTGAGGGTCCCTGACACTGATTTAAGCAACTTAACCCACACTTTATTCTGTAGAACAAGTTCACAGGTTTACTGACTCTTGTCATAGAAAAACAATGTTCAGAACTTAAGAGAAGGATTTATTAGAGACTTACAGGACACTCTTGAGGGCAGAATGCGGGGCCTCTGAGAAACAAGACGTATTATGAGCTGGAGTTGGGCAGATTTAAGAGGATGCCTTTGAGAGGGGTGATGTAGGGTGGGTATCTGCATAGTCGGGTCAGGTTCCAGCGCAAGCCATCTCTATGTATTGGGAGTTGAGATCTGTTCCCACCAATATTGCTGCTTCCTTGGGGATGGAAGAGAAGTGATTTACAGGTGAAAAGGCCAGGTCCAGAGCCTGATTTTTTTTTTTTTTAATAGACAGGGTCTCATTATGCAGTCAGGCTGGTCTTGAACTCACTACATAGCCCAGGCTGGCCTCAAACTTGCAGTGATCCTCCTGCCTTAGCTTCCCAATTGCTAAGATTAAAGACACACACCACCCTGCCCAGCTTCAAGCCCAGATTTACAGGCTACACTATGGTCTTTAAGACCTTTAGGAATTTTGGGGGCAGGGGATACCAGGAATCAAATTCAGGACCTTGCACTTGCCAGGCAGGTGCTTGTGCTACGGATGTAAAGTTTGTGCCCCTGAGCTATATCCTCAGTAGGACTTTTTTTTTTCTTGAGTCAGTTTCTTGGAAGGGAAAATGGCTTGGGTAAGTTTTGTGTCTTTAAGCTGCAGTTAGGCACAATTTTTAAATCTCAATTTTCTTCTTTCCCAGTTACCTAGTTTTTATTTCTTGAATCTTATCTCAGGCCGGAATCTCAAAAAGCAAGGACAAAATCAACCTGACTTGTTCTTTGGAGAAGAAACCTTTCAGTAACATCACTAGCTATCACTGCTAAACCTTTGTGTTTAGCATTATCACTGTTAAACCTTCCAGTAATATCACTTCCCTCTCCTTCCTCTTTGCCTTTTGCCCAGAGCACGTGGATTTGGGTGTGGATGGTGTAACAAGAAAGTTGCTACAATGGGGTAAAGTTCCAAAAAGCTAGCAGGATGAGCTGGAAGGGGAGAGTGGTCAAAAGAAACAAACAAAAAAAGTCTGTGATTTCTAACCAGAGCCCCGCCTGTCCTCTCTGGCCTAGAGACCGGAAGGGTGGGGTTCATTTGAAGACCATGAGACTTGGATGGCAGATTAGAAAAGTGACTGTCTAGCTTCCCGAGCAGTGAGCTTCTGGGGACAGAGAAGAGTGGGTGAACCATGGGCCCTACTGGGCGAGCAGCCCAGCAGGGCCCTGGTCAATGTTTAACCACAGACTCCTAGGGTGGGTGAGCTGTATGTTTGCCAATTTCCTGAGAGTAAATATTTCCAGATAGCTCATCTTGAGCTACCACTGTGACTGTCACCAGCCTTAGCCATCTGCTCTCCAAGGAGACAACTCCAAGGGGAGGCTTTTTGACAAGCAAAGCTAAAAGCTAGACTGTGGGTGAGGAGCCTGGCTAGGGGGCCAACAGGACTTGGTGGGAAGCACTCTGATTGTCCTCCAGGTCGCCTGTTGAATGTGTTTGCTGGCCAACACAACTGTTGTTTTCCCAACCTCGGGTTGGGATATGTGGCCTGTCACGTACCTAATTTGTGGAGACAGAAAGAACTTAGTAGAATCAAGCCATCCTGAGAATACCGGTAAGAAGCAGTGTTACAGGCAGCTGAGTTAGTTAGAAATACTATAGGCAGCGAGACAGGGCTAGGTCCGGGCTGGAGCCAGTGCAGACACCTGGCAGCTTCAGGGGAGACTGACACCTCCTGCCGTGGGCCAGGCCTCAAGACAAAAGAGCACACAAATACACTCATATCCTGGGATTGATACCCTAAATGGTTCCCATCCCCCTAGGAAAGAGTCACAACTCCTTAAGAATGCATGCTTTCTACGTGACTTGCTTCCCCATTTGTCCCTAATGTAATCAATTTTACCTGAACTGTTGATCTTATTGGCTAACTATAGTTAGGTCCCACCTCATGCCCATCTGCCTGGTGAGCTCCCAATCTTCCCAAGCCTTGAACCCATGGCTTACTCTATAAAAGTCCCTGGAAAAGACAGAGTCCTTGGCAACCCGCTTGGGACCCCTTCTGTCTCTCTTCAGACAGAAGCTTTCTTTCTCTCAATGAATATATTCTGCTCTTAGCTTCCATTGTTTCTAAAATTCATTCTTCGATTTTAGAGAACACAAGCTCATACCAGACACTGTAGGTTGGGAGTTTCATTCCCCTATATCAGTAGTTTCCTGCCATTGATACAGATTTCTTAGAGTAATGGCTTCTTCCTGATTATAAATATAATATTCTCATTCCTTAAAAAAATGAGAATACAGAATATACAAATGAAATTTAACTGCAACCCATTGAGAAATAATCTTTCTTTCTTTCCTTGTTTATTTTATACAGGGGATTGAGCCCAGGGCCCCAAAACTGAGCTACATCCCTAACCCTTTTTTAATTTTATTTTTTATTTTAAGACAGAAATGGGATGAGGTGGCTCACACCTGAAATTCTAGCACTTGGAGGCTAAGGAGGGTTGCCATGAGTTTGAGGCCAGCCTGGGATACACAATGGGACCTGTTGTAACCTAGTTTTAACCAATGCACCCCCTTCCTGTTCTGTATGGGCCGTTTCAATAGAGATTAAAATTCCATCTCCAGTAAAGACTTAAGTTTCAGCTCCTTGTAAATCCCCCTCCTCTCCCCATTCTTAGATTAAGTCTCCATTTCTCATGAAAGCTTTAAGTTTCAGTTTCTTGTAATCCCGACTCCCACCCCCTTCAGCCTATCTGCAATACAATGTGCTGTCCTTAAGAAACATTTAACTACAATGAAGTTATCAAACTGGGTCAAAGTTCGCAACATTCCTGTGGTTTTTGGCTTTAAAACCCAACCTTTTTAGCTGTAAGGCATGCAGTCTCCATATTGGCTCCCAGAGACTTTTTGCCAGGCCTGGCCTAAAATAAAGCCTTTGCTCCCCAAATTTTAATTTCTTGTGTCCTTGGATTTTATTCCAGGGTCCGAGCTGACACATTTGGGGGCTCGTCCGGGTTGGGAGCAAGACCCCTGACTCAATTCTGAACACCTAAAAGTAAGTACTCTGGAGGGATTAATTAGACCACAGACAGTTGGCACATTGGGAGAAGACGCTCACAATTTGGGGAGTGGGCAACCACTCCATTGGGAGGGGACGCCCTCAGTCTGGGGAGTGATAACCTCCTGAGGACAGAGTCAGTTGGTTTTTTGGGACAAATTTCATCCATTTGTGACTCTGCCCCAGGAGGAGACCCGCTCCATTGGTTAATTTGTTAATTTGTTAATTCCTCCAGATCCCAAAATTTGACCAATTCCAAAATTTGGCCAATATTTGAGCAAAGGCCATTTTTGCTGCAGCTTCTCTTGTCTTGTGTGTCTGTGTGTCCATTTATTCTAACTGTTCTCCTTTTGGTTACCCAAATCTAACAGAACCCCTTCTACAAGCCCAAAACGGACAAAGGGATTTTGACGATTATTTGCATCTTATTGTTGTTCTATCCCTTCCTCTTAATGTTATTTTTGTCTTTTAGACTCTCCCACAAAAGAAAAAAAAAAAACCGACATCTTTGCTGGCCATGGGGCAAGCCGAATCTAAATTCAGCACACCCCTTAGCCTTGTGCTTGATCACTTCAAGGAATTCAAGCGGCGGTCTGAGGGGTATGGGGAAAGAGTTCATAAAGCCAGATTAACAACTTTTGTTACACAGGAATGGCCATTAGGGACCCAGGGGGTCTGGCCCCCCTCCGGGTCTTTCAACATGGAGACAGCACAAGCTGCTCGACAGTATGTTTTTGGGTCCCCTGCTCACCCGGACCAAATTGTCTATATTCAGATCTGGATAGACATAATTTGTGATGCCCCTTCCTGGATTAAGCCCTCTCAAGACAGAGTCTTTGCGGCCCTCAAACCAAAAGTGAAACCCAAGAAGCTGCCTTCTGATCCTACCACACCTCCGGTCCTGCCCTCTGAAGAAGACCCCCTTGACCCACTGGAGGCACTCTCGCTGCCTCCCCCGCACCCCGCCTCTGACCCTCAACCTGACTCCTCTGCTCCATCCCTGCCATGTCCCGGTCACACCTGCCGACACCCGCAGCCCGAGGCGTCTTCAGAGCAAAGCTCTGAGGCAGCTCCGCTTTGTCCATTACGGGAGGTCCCTAGGCTGGGTGGGAGCTCAATGTTTGTGTACACCCCTTTCTCATTTTCAGACCTTTATTATTGGAAATCCCTAATTCCTCCGTTTTCTAAGGACCCTGAAACTTTGATTAACCTTTTAGAATCTCTATTCTACACCCATCGCCCCACTTGGGGCGACTGCCAGCAGATCCTGCTCATCTTCTTCACGGCCGAAGAGAGACTGCATATTCGTACTCTTGGGCAAAATGCAGTCCGAGAACTAGACGGATCTGCATCCACTGATCAGCAGAGAATTGAACGCCTGTTCCCTTCCTCCCAACCTAATTGGGATCCCAATACAGACGAAGGTAAGAAGGCTCTCTATGATTATCGCCTGAGGCTTCTAGATGCGCTCCATGCTGCCGCCACCAATTTATCTCGAGTGACTGAGGTAAGACAATTAGCTGATGAATCTCCTGCTATGTTTTTGGAGCGCCTTTTAGAAGCATATAGATTACATACACCAATTAATCCGATGGCACCTGAAAATGCACGAGCAATTAATATTGCTTTTGTGTCACAGTCAGCCCCCGATGTTAGGGAAAAGTTACAAAAGCTTGAGGGATTTGAAGGGATGCCCCTCAGCCAGTTGAAAGAGATAGCACAAAAGGTCTTTAAAAACCGAGAGAGCTTGCAGGAAGCCACAAATAAAAAAATGACCAAGGTGTTAGAATTGCTCTGTGAAAAAGAAACTAAGAGATCGGCCAATGCTAACAAGAGGAAGGCCCAAGGTCGTCGACCTCCTCTAGATAAAGAACAATGTGCATACTGCAAAGAGATGGGACATTGGCGTAAGGATTGCCCAACGTTAAAGGCTAAGTTAGAGAAAAAAGCAAAGGCCCTGTTGTCTCAACAATAAGGAGATCAGAGCTCATCGCCACCCCCCGAGCCACGGATAACTCTTCAAGTCGGGGGGCAACCAGTGGACTTCCTGGTCGATACGGGAGCCACCTATTCTGTGCTGACCCGACCCTTAGGAAAGCTAACCAAGGACTCGGTTAATGTAATAGGAGCCATGGAGGGATGGAAATCGTACCCAAAAGTGACAGCTAGTTTGGCTCAACCTGGACAGAGGCCCCAGTCCTGGGACTCCCTGATCTGTGAAAAAGAAACTAAGAGATCGGCCAATGCTAACAAGAGGAAGGCCCAAGGTCGTCGACCTCCTCTAGATAAAGAACAATGTGCATACTGCAAAGAGATGGGACATTGGCGTAAGGATTGCCCAACGTTAAAGGCTAAGTTAGAGAAAAAAGCAAAGGCCCTGTTGTCTCAACAATAAGGAGATCAGAGCTCATCGCCACCCCCCGAGCCACGGATAACTCTTCAAGTCGGGGGGCAACCAGTGGACTTCCTGGTCGATACGGGAGCCACCTATTCTGTGCTGACCCGACCCTTAGGAAAGCTAACCAAGGACTCGGTTAATGTAATAGGAGCCATGGAGGGATGGAAATCGTACCCAAAAGTGACAGCTAGTTTGGCTCAACCTGGACAGAGGCCCCAGTCCTGGGACTCCCTGATGTTACCAAGCCATTCATTTCGTTCATAGATGAACTCAGGGGCATTGCCAAAGGAGTCCTAACCCAGGACATTGGCCCTTGGAAGAGGCCTATAGCCTACCTCTCCGAAAGGCTTGATCCAGTGGCAAGTGGATGGCCCCCTTGTCTAAGAATCCTAGCTGCTGTGGCAATGTTACTTAAAGAGGCTAAAAAACTCACTTTTGGATGGAAGATTTCTGTAGTGACCTCCCACAGTTTAGAGACTCTTATCAAAACCCCTCCCGAAAAATGACTCTCGAACACTAGAATTTTACACTGTCAGGCCCTGCTTCTAGACCCAGAGTCGGTAGTTTTCAAGACTTCTTCAGCTTTAAATCCAGCCACTGTTATGCATGACGACGACCTGGAGGAACAAAGGACACCTCTCCATGAGTGTGCTGACATCCTCGAACTGCAGCAGAACCTACGGGCTGATCTAACCGACCAGCCTTTGGGAAATGCCAACAACTATTTCACTGATGGAAGCAGCTTCATCCAGAATGGCAGACGAGTGGCCGGGGCAACAGTGACCACCGAAAAGGAGATACTCTGGGTTAAGCAGTTAGAGCCTGGCACCTCTGCCCAAAAGGCGGAGCTCATTGCTTTGACTGAGGCCCTAAAACTAGCCATGGGAAAGAGGGTAAACTTCTATACTGACAGTAGATATGCTTTTGCTACTGTACATGTACATGGAACCATGTATCAGGAGCGAGGCCTCTTAACCTCAGCCAGGACTAAGATTAAAAATGCTCCACAGATTCTAGACTTGCTGGCAGCTGTCTGGCTACCTCAACGGGTTGCTATTATACATTGCAAGGCTCACCAGACAGGAGATGACCCTGTCACCTTAGGAAACAATTTGGCAGATCAAGCCGCTTGAAAAATAGCAACCACATCAGAGGGGCCAACCAAGGAAGTACTTGCTCTGATGCTAGTCTCTCTGACCTTGTCAGAACCAGTCTACACAAAGAAAGACCTACAGTTAGCATCTCAACTTGGAGCGAAGTCCCCCATGCCAGGGGGCTGGTACCAGTTACCTGATAAACGAGTACTGTTATTGGAGGCACTAGGGTGGGAGCTGTTACACCAGGCTCACCAAACTACCCATTCAAGGGGAACTAAACTTGCCAAATTGTTCAGAACTTGGTTTTTTATTCTAAAACTCTGCAAACTGACCACCTCTTTGAGCTCCAGATGCCCACAGTGCTTGTTAGTCAACTCAGCCAAGAGCTCTACGCTGGAGCCCACCCAACATCAAGGAATTGTTCCAGGAGAACATTGCGAAGTAGACTTCACAGACATGGTATAGCCTGGTTTACAGGGGCACTGCTATCTGTTGGTATTAGTAGATACCTTCACTGTCTGGGTAGAGGCTTTCCCTGCTAAGTCCGAGTCAGCCTTAGTGGTAGTTAAAAAGCTATTGCATGGGGGCTGGGGATTTAGCTCAGCGGCCTAAACGTCTGCCTTGCAAGCAGGCAGTCGTGAGTTCGATCCCAGGTACCGATAAAAAGGAAAAAGACAAAAAATTTTTTAAAAAGCTATTACATGAGATCATACCTCAATTTGGCCTCCCACTATCAATGGGGTCCGATAATGGCCTGGCTTTCATAGCCTAAGTCACCCAAAAGTTAGCCCAGGCATTAAAGATTAATTGGAAACTCCACTGTGCCTATCATCCACAAAGCTCAGGGCAAGTAGAACATATGAACCGAATTCTCAAGGACACTTTAGCTAAGCTGTCTTTAGAAACTGGCGATAATTGGGTGAGCCTTCTTCCCTTTGCGCTGTTAAGAACTAGATGTACCCCATATGTTTCTGGAATTTCCCCCTTTGGGCTATGTTTGGAAGGCCCCCTCCACTGGTCCCGAAACTGTCAGAGGACAAATTAGTTGAAATAACTAACCAAGATCTCATTAAGTCCCTGCAGATACTCCAACCTGTTGGCCTCAATCCACCAGGTGTTTAGACAAAAACACCTGGACCCGCCTTCAGAGACGCCATTCCAAACACTCATCGAGCCAGGAACTTCTGTCCTGGTGCGGCATCACCATTGAGACTCCCTCGAACCCCGTTGGGAAGGACCCTTTACCATGGTGCTCAGTGCCCCCCACTGCCGTCAAGGTAGCAGGAAAAACTGCGTGGATTCACCACACTCACATAAAGCCACAGCACACAACGAGGGACATACTCAGGGAACTATACAACAGACTGGTAACCCCTTGAAGTTAAAATTGACTAAACATAGTTAGATTATGCCAGGCATGAACTGCTTTAGCTTGCTTGCTTTTGCTCCTTGTATCCTACTGCTGGGGATTTTAATAACATTGACGCCAACCTTTCAAGGCAGCTTTGGTCCCTCTGTAAGCAAAGAACAATTGTCGAGATCTTTGTATGGGAGCCCCTGTGATTTACGGAGGAGGCTATACTAAAGGTAAAGACACCAGCTGGGGGGAATTATACATACAATAGAAAGAAAAAGGATCATGGTCCTTCCCACATAAATGATAACTTATATGATACAGTCTTCGGACAGATTGTGGGGACAAGTTAGCATTCCTTGTTGCTATACCCTCAGTTACAGGGGGTTTGACTCAAATGTGGACGTGTAAGTTAAAGCCTGCGTGATACCAAACAAAGGCAGCCAGCCAGGGCTATGCCCTCAGAATTGTTATTTAAAAAAATAATAATAATGTTTCCCCAGATACATTACCACCCCTTGATGCTGCCTAAATCGCGGGGAGTTGATCTGGATGCTCAAACTTATGATATTCTAAAAGTCACTCATAAAGCCTTAAATGCTTCCAACCCAATTTTGGCTGACACATGGCACAGGGCTCCCCCATTCCCCTTGCGATCTCCACCAATGTTTCTCTGACCACGCTGGAGGAACAAGATTACTTAAATTGGGGCTGGGGATTTAGCTCAGTGGCATAAGTGCCTGCCTTGCAAGCAGGCAGTTGTGAGTTCGATCCCTAGTACCGATAAAAAGGAAAAAGACAAAAAAAAAAAGATTACTTAAATTGTATTGCTGGTCCCCCCCTTTTAAAGTACAACTGTACAAAATTGTACAAGTACAACTTTTAAAGTACAAAGGACTCTCCCTATCTCCAAGGAGGCTTTCATAATCATCCCTCCGACATTGACGTGGGGTTTGTTGCGATTACTAATTGTAGTTCCATAGTTAACCAGCCTACCTCCCTTTATCCCGCCGAGGACAAGTATTTGTGGAGGAAATATGGCCTATACTTTCCTCCCAACTAACTGGACAGGGATATGTGTAACAGCTGTCCTGTTGCCTGATACAGAAATCCTACCCGGGGATGAGCCTGTCCCCATTCTTAGTTTAGATTACATTGCAGGCTGCTCAAAGAGGGCAGTTCAATTTATTCCTTTATTGGTAGGCCTAAAAATAGCAGGAGCCTTAGGTATGGGGGCAGCAGGAGTAGGGGTTTCTGTCCAACTTTCCAACCAGATCGTTAGTGATGTGCAGGCACTATGTAGTACCATTCAGGTTCAAGACCAAATAGACTCATTTGACTAAAGTAGTTCTCCAAAACAAAAGAGGACTAGACCTCCTAATGGCAGAACAATGAGGGATCTGTGCGGTATGGCAGGAGCGATGCTGTTTTTAGAATGGAATCCTGCCCTATCTCCTGCCCTTGCTTGAACCTGTTAGAAGTACTGCTTTTGGTCACAGTAGGTCCTTATATACTCAATAGAATAACTGCATATGGCAGACAACAAATGCAAGGCATAAAGTTCGTTCCCCCAACTGGCCAAGGATTTGGCCTCACTCACAACATTGGAATGTTGTAACCTAGTTTTAACCAATGCGCCCCCTTCCTGTTCTGTATGCACCATTTCAATAGAGATTAAAATTCCATCTCCAGTAAAGACTTAAGTTTCAGCTCCTTGTAAATCCCCCTCCTCTCCCCATTCTTAGATTAAGTCTCCATTTCCCATGAAAGCTTTAAGTTTCAGTTTCTTGTAATCCCCCACCCCCTTCTGCCTATCTGCAATACAATGTGCTGTCCTTAAGAAACGTTTAACTACAAGGAAGTTATCAAACTGGGTCAAAGTTCACAACATTCCTGTGGTTTTTGGCTTTAAAACCCAACCTTTTTAGCTATAAGGCACACAGTCTCCATATTGGCTCCCAGAGACTCTTTGCCAGGCCTGGCCTAAAATAAAGCCTTTGCTCCCCAAATTTTAATTTCTTGCTTCCTTGGATTTTATTCCGGGGTCCAACCTATCACAGGACCCTATCTCAAAAACTGGACACACACACTCACAATTTATCCAGCATCTTCCTAAGACACCAAGTTGTGGATTGGGCTGACACACTTAGAAATAATGACCATTTTTAAAACTTCCAGTTATTTTTGTTGAGTTTTTTGAAGGTGATTTTTTAAATACGTAAAACTTGGGGCTGGGGATTTAGCTCAGCGGCATAAGCACCTGCCTTGCAAACAGGCGGTCATGAGTTCGATCCCTGGTACTGATAAAAAGAGAAAAAAAAAAAAAAAAAACCTGTGGTAATTTATGCATGATTTTGACTCTTGCATTTTCCTTGAATTTAATAAGCATATACAATGCTGTAATTATGTTTTTGGACAACTATTTTTTTAACTAAAAAGTAAAAAGCCTCATGGTTAAAAAAATACTGCTGAATTTTGAGGATGCTTTGTAGCTGACAAAAAAGACAAATACCAGCTAGGATGGGGGCATATGCTTGAAATCTCAACACTTTGGGAAGCTGAGACAGGAGGGTTACAAAGGGCCCATCTCAGCAGTTGAGCAACTTGGTAAGACCTTGTTTTAACATAACAATACCTAGGCTGGGGACATAGCTCAGTGGCACAGCACCTGCCTGGCAAGCACAAGGTCCTAAGTTTGATTCCCAGTACCAATAAATAAATTAAATAATTAAGATGTAAACATATTAATAAATAAAAACAACCACCAAAAAGCTGGGGATATAGCTCAGCACGGGAGTCCCAGATTCAATCTTCGGTGCTACGAAGAAAGAAAGAGAAAAAGAAAAAAAGCAAATAACATATGATTCCACTTATACCATATTTGTTGATTCAACCAACCAGGAATAAAAACTATTCAGAAAAGCAGTTGTATCTGTGCTGGACATACACAGATCCTTTTCTTGTCATTATTCCTAAGTAATGACAATTTACATAACACTGACATTCTATTACATATCATAAGTAACCTGAGATGATGTAACCTGTATACAGGTGGGTTCTGTGCTGTTTTATACACGGGACTGGAGCATCCCTGGATGTTGGTACCCATGGTGCATCCAGGAACTCATCCCCCACGGATACTGACTGAGCAACTTTTGTACCTAGAACGGTCAAGTTGCTAGAAACAGGAAATGGAATGGTGGCTAGGCACTTGAGAGACAGAAGGATGAAGTGTTTAATAGATGCAGAGTTTCTGTTTTACAACGAGTTCTAGAGACTGATGGTGGCGATGGTTGCACAACTGTGAATCTGTGTATGCTGAGAGCTTGAAAATGATTGGAATGGTAGCTCAGACACTGTGTCTTTTTCTGCCATGAAAATTTTTTGAAATGATGAAGTACATAGGAAAAAAGAAAACAGGAAATGAAGTGATAAATATAGGAGACAGACAACAGAGATGCTTCATCAGTGTGAATTCAAAAATTGAATCAGTAAAATAAAATCAAACCAAAAATTTAAGCCATTTTACAGTAAAAAATGTAACTTGAAAATAAGTATTTTTCTCTCCTTTCCTGGTCCCAGTATTTTTTTGCAGGGGCCAACAGGCTACTGACATGTGGAAACTATACAGTTTTCACTGGTTACCTAATATGTACCAACTGGAATATTATACAGCCACCAACAGTTTATGTTTTCAAAATTTAGGTAACAATAGAGGATTCATCTATTGAAATGCTTGGATATATAAGCAAAATAGAATGTTGTTGTTACCAGCCTTATTGAGATATAATTCATACTGAAGAGTATAATTCTGTTGCTTGTAATGTAGTCAAAGTTGTAGAACAGTCATCACCATCAATTTTAGATTCCCACCCCCGCCAAAGAAATCCTTTACCCTTTAGCTATCACCTGGCTCTTCACTTCCCCACTCCAGCCCCTGGCATCACTAATCTACTCGGTCCTCTTAGCTCTTTTGGACATTTCCTATAAATGATATCAAGGAACATACTTTGAGCCTGGCTTCTTTCATATCATAACATTTTCAAAGTGTGGTGGACTTGGGGCTGGGGATTTAGCTCAGCGGCATAAGTGCCTGCCTTGCAAGCAGGCAGTCGTGAGTTCGATCCCCGGTACCAATAAAAAGGAAAAAGACAAAAAAAAAAGTGTGGTGGACTGGTAAGTGGTGGTCAGTTTAAACCCCAGCTGAACTGAGTCAGCGTGGTGCTGAGCATGGATGGCCCGCCTGAGTGCGGACAGTTGCCAGCATTAATAGAGACCAGGAGAGGAAGAGGAGCGTTGGTTCTCCTGAATGGTGGTGGTGGTGTTTGGAGCTGGTGGTTTTCCAGGAGAAGCTTGCCACACTGGCTTCCTGATACAAACTCTGCTGTTTTCATCATCAGAGGAGCCTGGGAGCTCATCGTCACTGAGGATGGCTGTGGCAGTTTTCGGGGGAGCCCTGGTCCTTATTTGGAGCATCGCTTCTTGGATCCAGCAAAGAACCCTCAACCTGCTGGATCCTTCGTCCTGCTGGCACAGACTTCCTAGCTTCCACTGCCGCCACCTTGGGGCTTTCCCAGTGCAGATCCATGTCTATTCCACGCTCTGCAAAAGCCCCATGTTATTTCTCAATGGCCAACACATTAAACTTAATTCAGTCCTAAGAGTCTTGCATTCCCAGGCCAGGACAATTTAGTCCTGCTAATCTGTAGTGCCGGTCTTGGGAAGCTCGGCACCCATCTGATTGCTGATCTCCTGGAGAGTTTTGAGAAAGTTTCCTAACACCTGCTGTCTGTCCCCGGAAGGAAGTGTGGCAGTGCCAGAAGTCAGGGCCCAGTGAGAGGTGGTTGGGCCACGAAGCCTGCACCCTCAATTAACATCATCCTAGCAGGACTTTGTCATCAAGAGAATGAGCTGTTCTTTTATGGCACTGGGATTAAACCCAGGGCCTTTGCATTAAGCTATATTCCCAGCCTTTGGTGAGTTATCCTAAGACAGGGTTGACATGTTGCTAAATTCCCTAGGTTGGGCCTGAACTTAGGATCCTCCTGCCTCGGCCTCTCTGAGTTCTGGAATGACAGGTGTGACCACATGCCACACTGACAGCGAGTAGTTATAAAGTAAATCCAACCCTTGTGCTTGTCTCTGTCACCTGCACTCTCGTGCCTTCCTCCTTCCTACCATATTATGATGCAGCCAGAAGCTGCCACCATGCTCTTGGGCATCCTGCGCCCCCAAACCATCAGCCAAATAAACTTCTTTATAGATTCCCCAGTTCTCAGGTGTGCTGTTATAACAGCAGAGAAGGACAATACAGTGTATATATATTTTGTATTTTTGCAGCATGTGGGATCCAACCCCAGCACCTGAACCATATGGTGGCACCTGCACTGGCCAGGCAAAATGGCACAAACCCTTCCATCTTTTGAGTAAACCTCTGCAGGAAGAATTGTTGTCATCTGCATTATATACAAGAGGAAACTAAGGCCCAGACAGGTTAAATAACTTTGCAAAGGGTATCCTAACCTCAAGTCCACGTTTATAAAAGCAATGTCTCCCTGCCTAATGTTTCCTTAAAGCAGTCAGGTTTGGGGGTGTTGTTTTGAGAAAGCGTCTGGCTGTATTGCCCAGGCTGGACTCAACTTCATGGGACCCAGTGATTTTCCTGCTTCAGCCTCTCAAACTGGGCCTATACGCACACAATAATGAGTCTTAGATTTGGCTTGAGGGTGTGAAGGTTACGAAGCTAAAAGCTGTGTAACCTTTTCCTGGGAAAATGTACATATTCACAGCACCGTACATATTCACAGATGCAGTGGTGCACACCTGTCATCCCAGCCCTTGAGAGGCTGGAGCAGGAGGATCACTGCAAGTTCAAGTCTAGCCTGGACTACAAAGTGAGTTCAAGGCCTGCCTGAACTGTGTAGTAGAACCTTCTCTCAAAAAGGTCCTCCCCCCAAGAAAGATATTTTAAGAAGGTAAAAAAATTTTTGCAGGTCTAAAATGGAATTATAGCCAGGCATGGTGGTGCACGCCTGTAATTCCAGCACTTGGGAGACTGAGGCAGGAGGATTGCTGAGGGATTGAAGCCAGTGTGGGCTACAAAGTGAGTTCAAGGCCAGCCTGGACTACTTTGCGAGACCCTTTCTCAAAAATAAACAGGTACACTGGAATTGTAAACAGGGTTGATTGAGCCTAGAACTGAAGTCTCTCTTACACTTTTGAATCACCAGGTGGCGCTCTCAGCCCTGAACGGAATCTGGGTCTCACTACCAAAGTCATCTAGGAGATAGCATTGGGCCAACCTTCCTGGAACTCAAAGGAATTTTAGAGATTCTTGGTTCACCCAAAAGCCATCGCCTTTCTGAGCAGGGGATTGCCCGGAGTTGTCAGGCAGCCTGCTCAAGGTCACAGCTCCTGGGCAGTTAGGACTCATGGACTTGTCCAAGTTCCAAAAGTTCTGAAATGTATCACATAGCTCCCGGAGTTACAAAGCCCAGCCCAGTGGACACAACGCAGTGTTTTCTCATGGTGACTCCAGGAATGAGCTTCTGTGCATGAACATTGATGTCCAAACTGCAGTGTCTGTGGGGAGCAGAGAGATTCCAAGGACGCGTGCTCCTTCCTCTCCACACACACAGATGGCCCTAGTTGGGTTTCTTTGTGAAATGCCTCGTCCGCACCATGCTAACCCCTCCACTGGGCTCAGGCGTGGACCCGCCTCTCTCAGGCTGGCTTGAGGGACTGTGTGCGCTCAGGAAAGTTACTCAGCTCTCTGAGAGCTTCAGTTTCTGGGGAGTCAGTCCAAGTGCCCAGCAGACAAGGATAGAATCAAGCATTGGTGAATACAGAATGATGTTTCCCGTTCCTGCGCATGTCCTGAACCCAGACCAGTGACACCTGTTAGCTCTGTGTACAATAAGAATGCATAGGCACCGGTGATAAATGTGCCTGTTCTTGGTTGGATGGGGCAATTTTAATACAGTTGGAAACAAAAGAGCTGAGTCACTGCTTTCTTTCAGCTGTTAATGGTACACTTAAAGGTAACACAGGGAAGCTGTGTGAGCCACCTCCCTGGTCCACATTCAACCACAAACAAGACCAGTTACTCAGGCTTCACCTCGGGAGGTCGCCCAGGTTGCTGACTTCAAAAGAGAAATGCAGTGTGAACTACCTAAGACCAGTGGGTGTCTGACCTTATAAACACTGGAAGCCTGAGCTACAAGGCTTTTCTGGCCACTTTGTCTTCTGCCTATTCCTGCTGCTGCCCCAGTGAACGTAACTGCATACTACAAGGCGTACGCTTGACAAGCCTTTCCTTGTCATATATAAGAACCTGGAGCACTTTGGTCCACTCAAATGTATCAGTGTTTATTCTGTGGCTCAGTGTTCCTAGCTCTCAGCTGGGTTCTGAGAAGTAAGGGTGCCAGTTGAGTATGGCCATGGATAGAAGGTGTCTGCTGTAAGTTGCCAGACAGAGTAGCACCTGCCTGTAATCCCAGCACTCAGGAGGCTGAGGCAGGAGAACTGCTGGGAGTCCGAGGCCAGCCTGGGCTACAAAGTGAGTTCAGGGCCAGCCTGGACTACGTAGTGAGAATCTGTCTTAAAAAGAGATGAAAAGGAAAGTTGTTTTTCAGTCTAATAGTCTTAGAGTTTGCTTTCTTTTTTACTACGAATCTATGGTTAAAAATACCATGGAATAAAAATACCAAAACCATTGGAATGGATTCCAAGTCAAATGGAATCCATTGCAAATAGCAATAAAAATATGTGTGTGTGTTTTCTCCTCCGGTATTAGTTTGTTTTCTGTTGAAATAGCAGAATATCTGATATGGGATACTTTAAAAGAGAGAAAGAGACAGAGGCTTATTCAGCTCTGCTCTGGAGGCTGCAGGTCCACAAATGGTCCTATCTTATCAGCTTCTGGTGAGGGCCTAATGGTAGCTGGTTACAGTGTCGTTGGTGAGAGCTCAAGCAGTAGCAATCAGAGGGACTCGGGAGCCAGGCTTGCTCTTTTTATAACAACTTGCCTTTTTTTTTTTCCTGCAGTCCAGGGCATTAAGCACGCTAGGCAAGCACTGTACCGCTGCTTGCTCTTTGGAGAACTAACCACGTTCCTGGGAGGACTACATGAATCCCTTCCAAGGGCAGCTCAGTGACACAGTCATTTTCTACTAGGCCCCACCTCTCGAAGGATATGGAGAACCATACCCAAACCAGAGCATCCGCAAAATGCAAAGTTCCAAAGAATGTGAAATTTCATGTTTCAGTTGATGCGTTCATTGCTAAGGTTCATTCAGGGTTGGACACATTCACTCCCAGACTCCAGCCTTGGAGTCTGCCCCTTCCCTCCAATCCTACTGTCCTCCCAGAGGCCTGATCTTTACTCTGTGCTAGACATTGTGGTGACCATGGGGAGCAAAACATTCATGGTCTCTACCCTCATGGACTTCACTCATCCAGGTGCGAATGCTGCCAAGCTGTCTGCTCTCAGCTGCCCTACTGTCCACCCCCATCCACGCTATGATTCTTTGCATTACCAGGGATGCCTGTAACTTCCTTCAACTGGCCAGTTCCCAGCAAGACTTCAAACTCAGATTGTCGCTTTTTCCCCCGTACACAAAGCAGTGAAATATGCCTGGCTTTTCTATTCCTAAGTTCTTGCAGAAAGGTGTAACACCACCATAGCCAGCCATTCTAACTGTAATCATTTTTCTGACTCTGTCTTTCCACCAGCACAGAGCTTCTTAAAGGCGTGGAAAGCGTCTCATTCATTTTTGGGAATCAGGGTCCAGCAAAGAACTTTGCGTGTAATAAATGTTCAATAAACACTTAAGCAAAACAATAGGGCTTTGGTACAAAAAAAAAAAAACCAAATGTGACATAACAAAACGGGTTAGTCAAATCAAAAGGATGGACATAGTATACGGTGTAAAAACAGAATACAAGGTAATCAACAATGGTTACCATAATGCCTCTTGCTATCTTAAAAAGAATTGCCTATAACATCAGTTATAATAAAATTGAACAAAACAGTAAAGAACAAAACCAATAAAACCAAAACATTGGAGACATTACAGGACTTCAAAAGAAGATAATACTCAAACCAGAATGGGCATCATAGTGAATCTTACTGTCTTCACAGTTGTTGCCTATACTTTTGAACTTGGTACTATCAAGCAAAACAGAAAATGAACAATGATTTCTGTATAATCTCCTTGTCTATAAAGTTTCTGTTTATATTATCACATATAATAAAATCCAATAATATACAACATGTTAAGACTGATGGAAACAGAACAAAAGCTTGATGGGACTTCAAAACAAGATGATATTAAATCAGCACTAGCTATTATGATGTCTTGTTTTCTCCAAAATAGCTGTTCGTACCATCCAACCTTCTCTGCCTCATTTCTGTCGAGCTCTTTTTATGTCATTAGTTGTCAGTTTGTCTTCTTCATTTTGCTTTCTGCTCCATTCATTGTGGCCTCTCTACCACTGTTTCTGGAGTCTTGGTATTTTTCTTTTTTTAGAATGTCCTGCAGTATTCTCTGTAGAGGTGAATTGGTGATTACAAATTCCCCTAGTTCCTCTTTATCCTGGAAGCACCTTGTTTTTCCATCAATCTCTAGGGACAGATGTGCAGGATATATCAATCTTGGCT